GCTATCTTATATTATGGTATATAGCGATCTGGCTAGGCTTATAGTTGATAAAAACATTGCAAATTTAAACATTTAGAAATCACTCAACTGATAAAGTAGAAAATTCAAATAAATACAAATGTTTGTAAAAATGTATAAAAACGAAATATTCTCCATTATTTGTGCTATGATCCTATAAAATCTATACATTTCTGTAAAGTGAATTACATTTCCATCCTTTTCGTTGCCTGCAACTTTGTTATAAATCTTATGGTTTTTTATTTATTAAGCTTTAAAAATTAAAATGGCCGCATTTTGAAATTATACAAAGTATAAACTTGATGCTTTACGAATTAATAGTTCATATTAGTCATTGTACACGTATTAAGTTTGAAGTTGGTACCTCCAGTGGTTCCAAAGTGATGGGAAGTTATGTAAAGAATACATAACGCCGACAGAGGGAAAACGAAGCGAGATAGGGTATATGTTTATGCGACATTTTTGGTTTGTTTTGACTTAAGGAACATGACCACGGAGTTTTGGGGGAGATTTTCGTATAACATGGTCTAAAGCTTAGGATAGATACTAGGAACACAATATTGATGTTTCAACTTAATTTTAGAGGCCTGCGATAAAGTTTAGAAACAATTATAAGCTTTCAAGACGAAAGGTTCCAAATTGCATAAAGATACATTTATGAAAATCAATATACAGCAATAAATAAACGTACAAATTATCGATTTTACAAACCCTCCCTCCGTCAAAACCGTCTTTAACTGGTTGGATCAGGATGGTTCACAAATACATTGAAAAATCTGTGTAGTCTATTATCAAAATTGGAATTTTTTACGATACTTACAGTTCTCTTAGAAACACAAACATACACACATGCTTGTGTATAATTTGTAATGTGTTTTGTCCCTAACACAAAAAAAGTGCAGCGGTCTCTACGCCTAAAACTTTTTCTGCAAGAAATTCAGCTGAACATAAAGAAAATTATATAAATGCTATAGACCATTTCACGTTAGTTACAAGCCTCATTTTGGCGCAAAATGAGTTAAAAATCAACAATTTACACTGTAATGTTGTACACAATCTTAAGCAGTGCCTGTATAAGCTGTGACGCAAAACAGTAGCTGTATCTATATCACCTAACTCGGCTTGAAGGCGCACTCCTGTACAACTCTATTCACCTACATCTTATTAGTATACGATAACTATTTAGATCTAACAGTTTTAGAAATTGTTTCTTTAATTGGTTAATATATTTATCGTCACATTCTGTTAGTTTAGTTTGGACGTAGCAAATTTTACAGTTTTTCCACACAATCAACTTTTGTCACAGCATGGTTTATCAAAATGCAGCACTACATGAAGAGCAATGACTTTTAACCCTGCTCATATTCATGTTGCACTTTATGTTTGAGGAGTTTGTTACTCGACAGGTGTGTCGTGTCAGATATCAACCGTCATCCCCCCCCCCATACGTGACACCCCCTCCCCCCCAACCCCTGTGTGTAAACCTCTAACACCCTGTTATTACTGTAAACTGTAAACCTCTCTACCATATTCTTCACCCGCCAAATGATTATCATTTTCTCCATTCAATAAATTTGTGTTTTAACCCGATGAAGTTAATAAATATAAATATGGGTAGGTGAGTGGTTACAATGCTTATCTTCAAATTTGGAGGTCTCTAGATCGATCCAAATTGTTTTCAATTCTGGACCCAGATACCATCTGTAATTGGGGTACCTAATTAATTATACTATCCAATAAAGGTCAACATTAGATATTTGTTAAAAGACCAGTGTTTGGACCTTTCTCTTATAAAAACGTTATAAACATCAAAAACGCAAAGTACAAATGAAATTAAAAATAAAATGTCTACATTCGCGAGTGTCATTGTTACAAGTGTTTCAAACTGGCTCAAGACAACACTAATATCCGAACAAACCTCAACAACTAACAAAAACGAAATTACAGAAATACAAATTACTTTGTTACATTGTTAGAGAAGTTAGACAAAAGATTTATTTTTCTACCAGTTTAATGTAAAAAGATAGTAACGGACTTTTATGTAGTAAATATGTCAACGTATTTATGTAAAGATTCAATGTTACGTTGAGATAAATTTACTTTCAAAATAATGTATGAGTATTTAATAGACTTCGTTTTACGACAGTACGCCAGGGCTTTATCCCTTTGCCAAGTTTTAATCAATTATTACTTAATTGTAAATATTTTCCATTTACAAGCGTAGAATGAGTAAAAACATAAATAAAAAATAGCCATAGATAGTTTACGTGTTTCTTCAAATGTTATTTAAATATATCTACTTTACTAATTCCATAACTTAATTTATTGTGAAGTGTAGGCCTAACGACTGGTGGAAAATGTGTTAATACTCTCGTCCCAACAAAAATAAATTAGGAATTCCCAAAAAAGGTGCTAAACAAAAAACGGAAAACAACTAATTACGGAAGAATAATGGTTTAATTCAGTGGAATTCGGCGGCCATTAGCTCATTGTTGAGTATTAATGTATCATTAGTGTGTGACGCGGCGGCCGTTAATGATACATTTAACACAAATGACTACATATCGTACACTGACATTAGTTTAGTACACTGGAAGTGTAGCCATTTAATTTAAACTGCCTACAGACTAGACATCATCATAAACATTTTGTTTCCTTCAAACCAAGCAAAACAAATCCAATGTGTCATATAGTTCGTTTCCTAAAAGGATTTTAATGCTTATAGCTAAAAACATATACTAAAAGACTTAGTATTTGCAAAATTTTGCATTTTTACTGTGCTACGGTTTTAAATCTACTTAGGTATGTTGTGTATGTGTTCAATGTACAGACAAAAATATAAATACTTAAAAATATATTTTTGAATTTGTCAATTTTTCACATTAGTATGTTATCAGTTTTCTTTTGGATTGGATAGTTTGAAGATTTTACTCATCTTTAGCAATTATTGATTTTCTTAATTTATTCAGGCATATTCTCAATAGAAAACACTATTTACAATAAGGAATTGAAATACATGGATTATATGTAAGTGAATGGAATCTAATAAATATTAGCAGCAACAATAATGCATATATGAAGACCGATAATAAAATCAAGATAATGGGCTGGTAACTAAAAACCTAAAAACCCATTCCATGTGCAATAGATTATACTTTCGTAGCATGCATAATTTATTTACAATACTTACATGAAACATATTACATCTCGTTAATAGCCTACTACTAGTCGGTTAAGGTAAGATATAACAATAAGAATAAAGTAGCCATGTGATATTCAAAAATTGGATTCCTTTCTGGAAGTTCTGTGTTCAAATACATATCATGGGCCTATGTATAGAAATGTATGTCATACCTAAACATCATTTAGGCCAGCAAGCGTTGTAGCCGTAGCGTGATTACCACAACGAGGGAATTTATCGCCGCAAGATGGCAGCACTGTCTTGTCGGACACGCAGGTCTACCAACCGACTCATCTCTATGCCCTACTAAGGGGTTGTAATATATTAGGTAGAATAACAATTTTATTTCATTGTATACGTTGGTAACGATCACTCTGTCTATTTACTATTTCCATGCGTAAAATTATCACTACATCTGTGTTTTACATTTTGTATCCTACAACCTGCAATAGATTGTGTGTAAAAAAAACCAGTTCTCCATAGAAAAAAGCTTCAAGGGAATAAACGACCATAACTCAAAAGTTGAAATCCGTTACGAGAAAACCTAACTCAGATAAACATCATAGCTAAAATAAAAAGAACTTAAACAAAAAAAACTGCAATGAAATGTTGATTGTATAGCAAAAAGGATAACATTAAAATGTGACTATAGGCTACAAAGTACCGTACAAATGTGGTTTTTTTTATTGAGAAAGAGACTCATAGTTTTTGTGTTGTTGTAGAGAATGGAAAGACAAACATTACATTTGTAAAAAGAAAAATAAACAGAGCTATGGTTTGTACAGCAACAAACATAATTATTTATATAATAAAATTAACTTCCAATTTTTCAATAGGAAAATACGTCTACTTGGGATTGCTTGGGATATTCAAAATCAGTTTTTACAGATTATCTGAATATAACAGCCGCTTCATTGGCCTATTTAGGAAATAAACGCAAGCATTAGTAAATAATAACATTATTCTTGGTGGCCCAGGATCACTTGTTGAATAAAATGGTTTATATTACCTGTCCGTCAGGTAGGGCCTAATATAATAACAAATCAAACAACACACGAAAAAGAGAAAAAATCTCAACAGTATAACCCAACAAATACATTCCCAATCTAAAAACGAGCTGTGGAATACAGAGTTATCAAAGAGGGAAACGAAGTGTCCACGACAAAATTACAATAGCTGGCCAAAGACAAACACCACAGATAAGGTACACAATACGGACTCTGTGTGGTGAAGTGTCACAATACAACTGTTGTGATATCAAGCCATTGTTTAGAATGTGCATTGGAGCATGCCTTCGATTGTGGACTGTATCGAACTGAAAACTTTAAACTGGCTTCGTTTTTGGGAGGTTACACCCTAAAGTAATTTATTAACTTACCTCTGTAAGTAGTTAATTTTTTTCAGTAAAAACTTTAGATTAAATGTTGAATAATAAACTGAAACATTAACTTTTGTTGCTTAAAATATGAGTAAGGTTTGGAAGTTGCAGACCCAACCCAGTGATGGGATTGGTCACCGTAATAAAATTTTGTATTAGGCCTACACGAACTTTGGCTGTTTTGTCCGATTTCCATTGAGCGTTTAAGTTTTCTTTCTCTTTGTAAACAAAAATATATTTATAATCTAGTTAACTTATAATTGTGTTGATGGAAGTATTAGGTTATTTAGCACAAAAACCCGTAAACAGAACTACACAGCTTTAGTAGCAAAATGTTTGCCATCCTTTATGATGCAAGTAATATCGAATGTTACCCAACTGTATTAAATATAACCTCGCCGTTAAGATGGTTAATTTGCTTACCTTATGAGAGCAGGAGATTTAATTTCTCGTATTATCTGAAACCAAAAAACATAATTAAAATCTAGAAGCATTTTCCTAAAAACTAATTTTATCAAATCACACCATGAATGGTATGGTTTAATGACTAGAACGAGCGCTCCTTCTTTGTCCTTTATTCACAAATCGGATTTTAACTTGGCTGAAAATACTGTGACACGATAGTTCGTATCTCACCTTATTTGTAATCCTTCTTATTTTAAAAATAAATACCCCCGCCACAGCAAACCTGCAGACTTAGCGAATTTCCATTTGCCTGATTGGATTTACACTAAAATGTCTTCTTAAAAATATCACATTTTTCCCCTATTTAAACAGAATTAGTTTAACCAGTACTTAGGTTTGCAGCAACAGGGAGGGTAAAAAAGTTTTTTTTTTAATGTAAAATGTTAAGAGGTACTGTAGTTTAGTAAGCAATTAATGTATTTTCCAAATGTTATCAAAATATGTTCATAAACAAGCAAACTACAACAGTTGATTTATTCTCTATAAGAATAACATGGGAATTTTAAAATTATTTTTTTTTATCCGTAACAATTAGGCGCATAATAACGCTTCAATATACTAAATTATTTGTTTTTTAAGCTGTACAAAATGGTTTAGAAAGAAGTTGTGAAATTTTGTGTTTTTAGGGTCAAAAATGGGAATACCCTTTTTTACCCTATAAAACCCCCCATAAACCCCCGTTCCCATAGTCCGATCATGCTGGTTCGTGAACTCATTCAAGTTTATCCCAAATAAACTCCAACCAAATTTTATCAAAATCGGACAAAAATTACTCAAGTTATCGTGTGGATGGACACATATATATGTAAATATACAGGATGAGTTTTAATTGTCCCCCCCCCCCAACTTTTTTCTACATTTTTTCAAATATCAATCCCAGACCACTTCCAAACATTGTTGGGTAGTAAGTACTTCATTTTGACAAGGTGGTCATTTCCGGACGCCATCTTGGATCCGCCATATTGGATGCAAAATATTTTTTTCAAATGTAAAGGGTAAGTTGTGACCCATTATTTCGAACTAGATTTTTACCCTGATTACAATGCCGCAAACCGTTTTTAAAAATCTTGATTCATTCTAAAGTTATGAGGCCTTTTTAAAACTTTATTTCTAGCCCATTTTAACGTTGTGCATTTACAAACTAAGACCATAATCTCAAAATAGTGCTAGATAAAGATAAGTATACACTACCAGTTATTGTAAACCTATTTTCACTTATTTATGACTGATGTATTTTTTCGGCCGCCATCTTGGATCCGCCATTTTGAAATGGGATAAATTATTTTAAATATGAAGGGTGTGTTGTGACCCATCATTTTGAACTACTTTTTTAAGCTAAACTCAATGCCGCAATCCATTTTTTGTTATCAAGTTTTGTTTATGAAACATTGCAATATTTTTGTTAAAAATGTGTATATTTCAAAATCAAAATATGAAAATGAAAAATTGACCATGGAATTGAGTTCAACTTAAAAAAGTAGTCCGAAATGATGGGTCACAACTCCCCTTTTATATTTAAAATAATTTATCACATTTCAAAATGGTGGATCCAAGATGGCGGCCGAAAAAAATACATCATTCATAACCAAGTGGAAATAGGTTGGCAATGACTGGAAGTGTACACTTATCTTTATCTAGCACTATTTTGAGATTATGATCTTAGTTTGTACAAGCACAATGTTAAAATCGGCTAAAAATAAAGTTTTAAAAAGGCCTCATAACTTTAGAATGAATCAATATTTTTTTAAACAGTTTGCGGCATTGTAATCAGGGTAAAAATCTAGTTCGAAATAATGGGTCACAACTTACCCTTTACATTTGAAAAAAATATTTTGCATCCAATATGGCGGATCCAAGATGGCGGCCGGAAATGACCACCTTGTCAAAATGAAGTACTTACTACCCAACAATGTTTGGAAGTGGTCTGGGATTGATATTTGAAAAAATGTAGAAAAAAGTTGCGGGGGGGACAATTAAAACTCACCCTGTATTTATTTCTATATATAGATATATAAAAATTTGAACGAATGGTGTTTTTGGCTTCTGGGGACATCAAAATGAAAAAAGTAAATCGGTCCCGGGCCTAGGTCTTACCATGAGACCTACGGTAATAGCTACTTCCCTATAGGGAAATTCGCTAAAAGGGTAAGTCCAAGAAAAGGACGACAACGGTCTATTTTAATAAACTTCCTCCTCTAAAAATCATACGATCATTATTATTACAACAGGGACGAGTTTGTTTGATATCGATATTTATAGTAAATCACATATTACAGTCACAAATTACAGTTATAGGTTAGGCACTATTTATACTATTTTGTAATAGGTTTCAGGGTTATAAAAGCTACTAAGGTTACTAGGTTGAATGTTTTTGGGAATTAAAAAATGAAAGTATAATATTTACTTCAAATCTGCAACTTTTTAATCGCTGCAGGACAACACACTAGAAGCGCTGCGGGATTCCCTGGACGATAAATTATAAAGCCAATTTGATCAAGTTTAAGGGTGCTTGTTACCCTACACGCAATTTATCTTGTTTTACGTAAATCGCGTTGAACATTCTGAGCGTGGAAACTTTGCTTGTAAAATAAATCGTGTTATGTAATATTGTGTTATTAATTGACTTCAAATATATCCAAAGGGGGAAGTTAAGGGTTTAACATGGTAAAAAGTAATTCAACTTCAAACCTTACTTTGAAAAATATTACATCATTACTTCTCTTACACAATCAAATAAAAATCTATAGTTTCATTCAAATCTCTACATTAAAAAACTTGTCAAAACAATGATATTTTAACACCTGAAGACCTTCATCAGCAGAGAGCTGCTAACAATACAGTATGTCTTTATCTAGGTTTATAGGTTTACTACTTCGCATGACACCAATAATGAAATTTACATTATACAGACTTGATGTGTAACTAACACGCACACAGTATTCAACGCAGTCCTCCTTGCCTCAGTCTCTAGTTGATGAGTATTTAAACACAATATCTTTCTCTGTCCATTTTTGTCAAGGAAGCTGTTGTTATTGGTATTGTAAAGTTTGTAAACCCTCTTCCAATATGCATGTCTTAAACCCAGCAACATTAGGCTGTATATTATTGTAACTTAATTTTGCATATAATCTGTGAGACTTTAGAGAATAGCATTGCTGTGTGTATCATTATAAAAAAGGGAACTACAGTACGTCGATTTTTTATGAAAATTAATTAATTTAGGGCTAAGTAAGAATATTTCACTTGACTTCTATAGCTTTGTTACCGACTAAGCCAGAAGCATTTCAGTAAGGGCCGTTTACTAGAACTAAAATTATTAACAACTGCACTAAATCTTGAACCTTAAATAAACATGGAATGCAAAACAATCGTTACTCATTAATCCAGGTGACAAAGTGTATTTTGAAAATCTTGGTTAAATTATCTATTATTTATAAAAATATTGACACTTAACACGCTCAGATTATGTTATCGAATATTAATTTTGTAATATCACTGTAAACTTTGAATACTGAATACTGAAAGGTTGGATGTTTTCAATAAATCGTCCTTATATTTATTATAAATAGGCCAATAGCTTTAGTTTAAAAGTACGAATATGGAATTTGTCTATAACTAACTTAATACTTATTAACTTAAATTACCCTATAGGAATATCATGAAATTCCTACATCGTGCTAAGGTCGTTAAGTCAAAAAACAACAAAAGCGAGAACAGACAAACTCAAAAGTCTGTGCAGTAGAACTTGCTATTACCATTTTACGATATTGCGGCTTTTATCATTAAAGTTAGATCTAGTGACAAAAAGTATGTGTTTTATAAATTCTCAAAACTGTTTAAATGCAAGGCATAATTATATCATTACCTATTACTACACCAAAAATAGCTTTATTGACTATCATCAAAATTATACCATACACAATATATATCAAAACAAATTATAATATAGCAAAACAAAGACTTAATTAGTATTCATTTCAGCTAAGGTTTAAAACTGAAATGTGCAATATTTTATTATAAAAGTTGTCATTTTATACCAAAGTGTTTTACTGTGAGACATAAATGTAAACCTGGATAAAAACGCACGGCTGTCCACAACAAGACGGTTTATGAGAATACAACAATAAAAATGTGTAGAGAGGAGTCTTAAGTCCTCAACAAGGAAACTGTTTATTCATCTTGCTTTTCTGTGTAAGGTCATGAATTTTTAATGACTACATGCATATTTTTCACTTATTCTTTTATGATTATAACACGACGTGGATATAATGTTCGTTTAATACTTTACCTACGACCGTTTTTTAAAGTAGCCGTTTCAGTACAGTTCTTAGAATTGAAAAGTATCTCATAACAGCATTGTTTACTTTCATAACAGCATAGTTTTACTCATAACAACACGGGTAACGGACCAATGAGGTTCAAGGATTGAGAGAGGAGAAGCAAAATTGTAATGATTCGAAATTCAACTAATCAGCTGTTCAGGCCAATTTAATTGTTTATTGGTGCAATTAGTGAATTAGTATTATTGATTCCTTTCTTCACTGTCAGTGGCAATCACTGAGCTATAATAATAACTGGAGTAACCACTTTGTGTTTTAAAAACTTACCACTGTTTTTGCTGGTTTTGTTTCAGAGTTTCGTTTTGTTAGGTTGGCCGGGTGATCGGGTTGGTGGGACTTGTCAAATTAGAGGCAAGATCAAGATGGCGTCATCCTGTTTTGTTGATACAGTAGTAAACAAAACTCTGCCAACTCAACATTATGATTGAAATATAAGTTTATTTATTTATTTTACGAGCAAGAGCAACCCATTTTAACAAGATCATAAACCGATAGTCGTTATTTAATCAAATGCCATAGGGCTATTGGCCTAAACCAATATCTCCAAACCAGGAAATTTGACTAGCCTATTTTCACCACATAGCTTGAAAAGAGGTAAATAAGTTAGTATTTATTTACTATCAAACAAAAACAATATATAATGTTTCAAATAA